TTTTTATTTTATTATTACAATAAAAAAATACAACACATTACAGAGGTATTTTATAATGTCCCCAAGGTAAAGTAGTGACCGATTCGGGTACGACGTACCGCTTATCATCGTATGGACTAAGAGCAAGTTTCAATTCAGACACCGTGTAGACCTCATGCAATGTCGATCGTATGGACGACTGACGTCTCGACTGTACCGTTACATCGTTCAAACATCGCACATAATCGTCGAAAGTGATCGTTTTCGCGACTACGTTTTTCTTAACACCCTTTATTCTCTTCGTATCGCTCTTTCCAATCACTCTCAACGCATACATCTTCGCTCTGAGTCCAATGAATTCCGTCATAATCGCACCACAATTTTAATCGTTCATCAAACCGGGTATTTACGCGTGGAATATCATACACGTTTCTCTCAGGATAATCACTCGTTTCGAATCTCGTGATATCACGCTTGATGTCCGTATCGTATACATTCTCACACTCCAGAAGATAAATCAAACTGTCAGTGTCCGTGTACAAAATCTTACATGTATCGCGATACAATGGTATTACGTATTCATAGTGAAATTCGTATAGACGCAACTTAGCTATTTCGAGAATGCACATACCTATGTATATCGGTTTATTCATTTTTACCTCGAGTTTGCGCAATTCCACAGCAACTAGATTTTCAGAAAAAATACTTCTACTGTGAAAATTCGGTTTCGCTATCATCGCTTCCGCACCATATCTCCCATCCCAACGCGTTATAAGTCGAACGTCAACGTGATCGCGTACGTTCTCCATCGTTTTTCCAAATACCGCATTGTTCATCAATTTGTAAAGATTCTTCTCGAATTCGTTATTCGCGAGCATTCTAAATCTCGTATTAAGTTCGATATATCCGCGAAGCCATGGGGATTGGGCGAATTGTAATATACGGTAAATTTTTGTGATGTGGAGACCATGATGAATACATTGCTGCAGATTGCGATAGTACACGACATAGCGCTCCTTATTGTAAAGATTGGCCAGCAGTTTAACATTCCGTTTTCCGGGAGGTCGTTCGCGAGTGGGGCAAAATGGAAGATCAACGTGAGTGTCATGAATGCTTTGTGGATACGCAAGGTTGACTTCCAGAATATAACCGATAACGGAGTCTGACGATACAGACATTACGTCAAAGCGCTCGATGTCGTCGACCCATTGAAATTCTCCGTACGGTAAGGATTCGGACATCGCCCAACCATACAAATTATTCACGTCGAAGTACGTGAGGTACGTCGAGGGTTCCGAAGGATCGTACGAAGATACGTTATACTTGTTATTAGCTTGCGCGTATCTATGTGAACACTGACTCAAACCACCGCGTACACCACGTTCCACAAACATCACCATATCGATGTCGGTAAGTAATTCGAATCGAATACCAGTGTATTTCAACATAGCGTCCCATGTATATCCCGGTAAAGTGTAATAATACGCTGGATCCAATCCGTAACTCTCAATACACGTATCACGAAAATTTTCGAAAACGTCTGCTAATAGAAGCACATCTGTCTTGAGATACAAATCACTGTAATCACCGAGAGTCTCTATGCAAAAACGTCGCCAAACGTTCGTCGCGTGTTGATAATCATCATCGGAAGCAGCCTCGTCGGTCAACGAACTATAAAACAGTTCACGCGGTGGTAAACTAGTCTCATTTAGCTTATCAACGCTATCAATATACTCATACGGAAACACTCCTTTCCGCGTAAGCAAATCAAAATCCTCAGCGTCAAGATTGGAAAATTCCGATCGTATAATTTTCAATTTACTCTTGTCGAGATACGATACCAATTTCTCGAGACTAGTATTGAGAAATTTGAATGAATCCACAAAACGCAATTTCAAACAGTCCGTTCCCTGCTTAGAGTTTGTAGCCTTGACATGTTTCGTAAACGATATATATTTTTCTTTCGTTATAGGTAACAAGTCGACTCTACCCACAAAACTATTAGCAATATCCTTTATGATAAAATGTGCATCGTAACCTGCCAAGTTATGAAAAACTACAGGAATAACGTACGTATCGTGATACAGTAAATTACAACGTGAATGTGCAGGACCTCTATAACGTCCGGTTAAATGACAGTGATTGCGTACGCGCAAATCTCCTTCCTCAAATGGTCTTTCACAGATATGACAGTGAGTCGCGTTTCGAAATTGTTCCCACTCGACGTTTGATGTAAACTCCGCCATAGCCATATTCTTATCGAATATCGTTTTCGTGTGATGCGCCAAATCGTATAATTCCTTGATAAACCATGATATGCAATCCTCACCGCGATAAGATTTGTATATCGACATAGTTTCGTCGTATACACAACGTACGTAGTACCCTACGCTAAACACCTTGTGATGTTGATAGGTGAATCTTGACATGTTTTCATCGGTGGTCTTCTTCGCCAGTATACACTCCAAATCAGCATAAAGAGAAGTCGCTCCTTCTTATTATGACCACGAAACGATAACCATTTATCGTTCTCGTTCGGAAGAATAATAGCACATTCGTTCGTCGTAGTATAGTCAACGATGTGAAGCGACAATTTCTCGCTCGTAGGAAAATAATGTATAGACATCTGTAAAGTAACAAGTCATACGCGTTACACAGCTTTTTTTTATCGTTATATATACAACTAGTAGTATACCTACCTATCATACAAATGCTTCTTCTTCGTGCTCTTACTCAATTGCGAACCTATCAATCGTGACAGATTTTTAATCCATGTGAAATGACCGAGGACGTTTTAATCATTACATCTTGAGTCTTGCAAATACAACAGGTTTACATGTTTCTCTTTCTTCTCTTTGGTAAGACGAAGAGGAACGATTTCATTACCATCGTCTCTTTTTTTTCCACCTCTCTCTCGCTCGGTAAATATGTTGATAGATATATCGTTCAAAAATTCAAATTTCGTAATTTGTTTTAAAGTAACGGGGAACTCGATACCCTCAAGCTTCAACACGGTAGTATAATCTGGATACGACGATTTTCTATTTACATTTTTTTCTGCAGGGTACAGAGCGGCGACCACCGACCAGGCGAAACACGCATCGTCCATCGAACGCACGTTGATCATCGCCTTCTTCAGCATAATTTCTCGCGGCAGCTCCACCCAATATCCCGCATGCATAGGATTATACTTGTTAACATTTACAATCAGATTCGATATACGTGACAGCGCCCATCCACTGTCACGTTCCTGAAATTCCTCCAATGCTGCTAAAATATCATCCGTCACGTGTTCATCGTACCACTCTCGCAAATCGGATGTGTTAAAAAGCTCGTAATTTTTCGTAGTGATACTCTTAGCAGATCTCTTAGCATCCGCGACGAACTCACCGTTGAATATCCACTCTTTTGTGATTCGACACGACCAGAGCCCATGTTCAAATCGTTGTCGTAAAACATTTCTCAAGCCTTCCAATCGTGCTACTCGAGCGATTGATGCATTTACGACTCCGGTAGATGTTCGTTGACGTTTACTGTTTCGACACGTCTCCCGCAAGAAATTGAGACACTCGTCGCATTTTTGCTCCCATATCTGATATATGTCCACCGTATCGGTGCTCGTCGCACGATTAAAAAGATCCTCCACCTCCTTATCCATCTCTCTGTATTAAAAAAATTCCTGCCCTCGCTTACAAGTGAACCAGAGCGTTTCACCACAACTATCTGTATATATATGTCATGGTCAGCGACATCAGTGTTGATTTCCCTATTTCATCTTTAATAACTTTTTAACGTGATATGGATGACTGTTAAACCTTCCGAAGGTTGCAGGAAATGTAATGGGAAAACAAGTACGTATACCGCAGGTCTACGTTAAGTAATAATTCCATATTGAAAGGAGGAATCAAATGCCAACTGAAAATGAATCGTCAGTGTCACAAGTTCTGTTATGGTAATATGGAGAAGAACATTTTACTACCGAAAAATGGTTGACGGAAACGATGATATATAGTTTCTATGCGCTACTCGAAAGAAATTCTGATTATGCACCTCGACCTGTACGGTTGACAATATTTCCCGATCGGATTGTTCCACTCGATAATTCGATGGGCCTTACCTCATACGAGAGGCACTATTTATATTTTGAGCCTAATATTAAAAAAACAATAATTTGTCATTTATTGTTTTTCAAAATATTCTCCTTTATGATCTATACTTTTGCATGCGTTCGAACCACTTGTCAAAGCATTTTTTCCATTCCGCTTGAGACACCTCCAAAATATGGTCTTTGAACGCATCAACGGCTTCTTCTGCCGACGAAAATCGTTGTCCACGCAATTTATTCTTGATGTAGTCTTTGAACGCATCAACGGCTTCTTCTGCCGACGAAAATTGTCCACGCAATTTATTCTTGACGTTCGGGAACAAAAAGAAGTCATTTGGTGCCAAATCAGGACTATACGGCGGATGACCCATTAATTCGATTTTTTGAGTGCTCAAATAGTCGGTTGTTAGACGAGATGTGTGACAGCTGGCATCGTCTTGATGAAGAATGATCCGGCGGCGCTTGTTTGTTTTCCTTATTTTACTGAAGACTTCCGGCAAACAAATGGTTGTGTACCATTCAGAATTGACCGTTCTAATTTCCTCTGAAGGCACTGTTGCCACATGACCAGTTTTTTCGAAAAAACAGGCGATGGTTCATCTTGAAACACTCATACAGTCGACTGCTGTTTAGTTTCCGGTTCATACGCATAGATCCATGATTCGTCACCTGTTACAATCTTATACACGTCTTTTGAAGCACCGCCATTGCATTTCTTAAGCATTTGTTTGCACCAATTGACACAAGCATCTTTTTGAGATTTTGTCAGATTATGTGGGATCCAACGAGAACAAACTTTTTTCACGGCTAAATGATTATGCAATATTTCATATATGCTGGTGGAACTAATGCCCAAGGTTGTCTCAATCTCACAGTATGTCACATGACGATCTTGCATTATTAGTTTTTGCACAGCATCAATGTTTTCTGACACAACAACTGATTTTGGACGACCTTCACGACTTTCGTCGGTGAGCGAACGGCAACCACGATTAAATTCGTTATACCAGCGTTTCACAGTGGCAAAGGATGGGGCTTTATCGCCAAAAGTGGAAGTAAGTTGATCGATGCACTCCTGTCTTGATAATCCACGTCGAAAGTCGTAATAAATCATTGCACGAAAATTTTCACGAGTTAATTCCATTTTTTCGCTGAGACACAATTTTCAAGTGTCTGACTGTAAACAATACAAATCGCGCTCAAATAACAAAACGTTCTGAAGAAGGTTATGGTAAAAAATGTCAAACTTTCTAGTGGAAACGTCCGATGGCACCTGACAACACTCAATGTTGCCAAGGCTCAAAATATAAATAGTGCCCCTCGTATAATTGATGATGTGCAGAATTATGTTTGCGAAGAAACGTATTAGGCAACAAATACTGAAAAATGAAGTAGCGAACGCATTGACTGATGCTATCTGCGTATACGTTGAGCGTAAGCGTTGTATTCTAGCGGTTAGAAGATCTGTCGGTGAACGCTTTGAAGAACGAATACAACAAGGTGTTTGGAAATTTTTCACGGCTCTAATGTCGACGTATTTCTAAATCGATGATGTATTAGAACTCGATTTGAAGCACGTAACATCTTGTTCTTGTATTTGTCATATCATCGCTCAATGTAATTGATATAAATCTCATCTTATTCTTTTTTTTAGATATACTTTCTAGCATACGAATGGGTTTGATAACGGATCCTAACATCAATAATCTTCAATCGAGAAAAATCCAGTTCAAAGGAAGTAGTTGCGACGAAAGATTGAATGAACTTTGCACTTATATGAATCAATTACCGGTTGATACAAAATGTTTATTACCCACGTGTTATTTGTGCAAAGTTTTGAACACGGCAATGCTCGATAAAATTGACGGTGATGAAACTCTACTGATAGCAGAAAATGATGTCGACTGTGCTTCAGCAGTGAAGAAAAAGGGTACAAAATTTTGGATGATAAAGACGACGAAGTTTCGGAAACAGCAGACATTGAAAGAGTAATAGCGATAAAATTGGCGCTAAAGTGATGATTCGACGAAACATTGATGTAACTTTGGGAGTTGTCAATGAAACGATAGGCAATGTAGTTGCAGTTAATCGCTGTATTGACGGAAATCGTACTGATTCCATTAAAATCGTTATTCCGGATAACAAAGAAATCACAATAACGAAAGTAGATATTAAATTCGAAGTATCCCACAGAATGATGGTACATCGAAAACAATTTCCATTGTCTCTCAATTATGGAATAACTATACACAAAAGTTAAGAAATTACGTGTAAAAATGCAATGATGGATCTCGGAACGAGTGTGTTCAATGATGGTCAAGCCTATGTAGGTTTGTCACGAGTGAGTACACTGGAAGGCCTACATTTGATCAATTTCAATCCGGCATCCGTAAAAGCAAACTCGGGAGCCATTGTACTAGTAGAATATAATCGACTGAGATCTGTGTTCTAAGCTCAGCTACCACAAATCAATTCGTCTGAGAAAAAGGCTCTGAAAATTTACGACTGTCGATGGGCCATACCTAATATCATTGATGATGTATAGAATTATGGTTGCGACGAATCAAAAATATAGTTACATGAAAAATATATGGCCTCTGCAACGATGAAAATATTTCGTGTTACGCTAATGTAACATTGCAATGTGCGTTTCATTGTGTACGTATCAGGCAACAAATACTGAAAAATAAAGTATCGGACGCAATGACTGATGTTATCTGCACGTATGGTGAGCGTAAGTGTTGCAATACTCTAGCGGTTAGAAGATCTATCGGAGAACGCTTCGAAGAACAAACACAACAAGATGTTTCGGAATTTTTCACGGCTCTCATGTCGACGTATTCCGAAATGAAGGGTGTATTTGAACTCGAATTGAAGCACGTAACATCTTGTTCAAATACCAAATGTAATTACAACGTAACTACGCTGGAAAAGAGTTGTTTGCTAATATTAACTATAAAGTTGACATTAAAAAGGAAAAAAGGTGTCACTCTGCAAACTATGATTGATCCAGAATTTTCGAAATGGGAAACGATAAATGGCAATTGTAACAAATGTAAGGGTACCATTTTGAAAAAGAAAACCGTAATGAAATCGACTTTATCCGTCTTATTAATACAGCTCAATTTATACACTTTTTTAAACGGTGCTTCTAAAAAAATTATCGACAATCGGATTAACGCCGTACCGACGAGTACTACCACGATTAATAAAAAAAAGTACAAGTTAATAAGCGCTATATTTCACGAG